GGAACTATGGCCAGTGTGTGAGTAAAAGCACACTATCCATTTACCACTTATATCACAACAGAAGCCCCAGAAAACCAGCTCTGGAGGAGGATGCCAAGACTAGCTACTTGGGTTTGCTTTGCTGGAAGTTCATTTTCTATCCAGGCATGGGGAGCAGCATCATTATTCATCTCTTCATTCAGTCATTTTTTTTCCTTCCTCTCGAGTTATTAAATTCCTTCCTGAGAGCAGATTTTGTTGGGGAAAGATGGCCATGTGAGGGATGTAAAGAGGACAGAGCCATGCAAAGGCCCTGAGGACATGTCCTTTGCCTTTCCCGAAGCTTCCTGTCAATCAGCTCATTGCTATTTCAGTAGCTTTGTCTGATCCAGAATCTAGCAGGTACTGCCTGGCATCCATCAAGCACTCTTCCCCCTTGTGGCGTGCTTCTAATACAATCTCCACTCTCTCAAAATGATCCATGCTCTTGGCTCTTGGAAACAGTCCATGCATCTCCAAGGAGAGCCAGCTTAGAGCAAGTCCCCCACCTTCTTCTCTTTCTCCCATCATGAGCAGATGAGGGGGTCAGTTAACAGTGCATGTTGCTGTAGCTCACAGGACTGCACCTGCATCCAGGCAGGAAGGGCCGAGTCACCCATGAGATGAGCACATATTTCAGAAGAAGATTTGACGGACAAATGCAGATGTGCAGGTTGCATACTACCCAAGAATGCCCGTCGACACTACGCTTCCTGGAAATCTAGACCGAGCTTTATTGGCAAAGCCATGTACCCCATGTTTTCTAATTCATACAACAGAAGCTGTGTTAGGTTGCTGGACTGTCTCTAAAGAAAGTGCTTCTTTCAAATCCATAAAATCCAATTTTGTGCCAGGGCCGGGACTTTGGGACCTTAGAGATGACAGTCTCACAGGCATTTTACCACCCCTCTCCATATTCAGGGACAACAGCCCAACAAAAGTTAAGACAGACATCTTCCCTACCTCTCCCTCCCTTCCCTTCCATTTGCTCCTCCCTTCTATTTTTCCTCCCTCCCTCCCTTCCTTCCTCCTTTCCTTCCTTCCTTTTGCTTGTTTGTTTCATTTTAGTTCTTTAATAATACTGGGAAATTACTATATATGCAACATGGAGAGAACACAGAAAAAAATTTATATATTTGTACTCATAAAGCAAGCCTCAGATGCATTCCTTAAATCCCACCCACAAGTACCCATGAACACCTCTGGTGGGTGCCCAGAGTCTATGGAGTCAAACTCTCACCCTCTGGGCCTTGAGTTTGGGTCCACACTTCTACCGGCCGCTTTATTTTCTGTCCCAGCATTGACCGTGACCTCTACACCCAGTTTCCACAAAATCAAGCCAAGCTTCCAAGTTTTCCTCCCCTTCTTTCTCCTGCTTTGGGGCTGCACTGTTTTTCATCTGGCTTGTGACTAATCCCCCCGTCATCCTCTTAATGCCATGTGGCCCATCCAGCAGCTTGCTAGCACTGTCTCAGGGTAGAAAGAGAGATTGGTTGCTTATGTGCAACTCATCTTCACTGGCTCAAGGCCCAGAGAGGCCAAAAGCCCAGATGCGAGCAAGTGACAAGTCCTTAAGACCTGAGCTCCTGTCCCTCTTGTAGAGAAGGGACTTACTGTGGTGCCATGCAGCTATTGGAGTCTTCCCAGCCAGCCCTGTCTGTGAGCTCCACCTCTTTATCTGCTGCCCCTTCTGTCCTGTTGCCCAGAAAAAGAGCTGGCCTCTTGGGGGAGAGCAGGGTGTGCTTATGCATCATTGATGCACTTTTTTACTCTGTAATTGTCTGACATCTAGCAAGCCCCGAGTTAGTTGGGTATGGTGACGGACTCCTGTAATCCTAGTCTGGTGGTCTGAATGAGAAAGACCCCCACAGACTCGTATTTGAATGCTTGGTCAGAAGTTGGTGGAACTGTTTGGGAAGGATTAAGAGGCGTGGCCTTGCTGCAGGAGGTGTGTCTTTGGAAGTGGGCTTTGAGGTTTAAAAAACCCCACACTATTCCTAGTTTGCTCCCCCCCCCTCCCCCCCCCCCCCACTTCTACCTCATGCTTATGGATCAAGAGGTAAGTTCTCAGCTACTTCTCCAGAGCCCAGCCTGCTTGCTGCCATGATCCTGCTATGCTGGTCATGAACTCACCCTCTGAAAACAGTAAACAATCCCTCCCCCCTTAAATGTTCTCTTTTATAAATTGCCTTGGGCTTGGCACTGTGTCTCTTCACAGTAATAGAAAGTTACTAAGACACCAGCACTCCAGATGCTGAAGCAGGATTGGACCATTGCCCTGTCATCAAGACCAAACTGGCCACACAGCCAGATCCTGTCTCAGAACCACAGAAACAACCCCAGTAACTTAGTAGGTGTCCAGAACAAAGATTAGAAAGTGTCTCCCCCCCCCCATTGGGCTGATTGGTGTGAAAAGAAGAGGGGGTGAGTCATGGAGTCACATTTGCAAAAATGGTCCTCCAGGCCACCAGGTACTAAGGCAGGAAAATCAGGGGATAGCTACACTGAACTCTGGTGACAGAATTAAGGGTGAATTGAAGTGGAATTTTGGGGAAACTGGGAAAGGGAGAAGTTAAAGGAAGCTGAGAAAGGGAAAATTCCCCCATGAAAAGATTCCACGTGCCTGTTGGGGTGACCTCCATTGCCACTTCCTTCCTTTTGGAATTGTCAAAGGCAGAAAGGTGCTATAGCCCTGCTGGCCCCCAGTGAGGAAAGGCTTCCACAGCCCCTGGTCAACCCTACTAGGGGCAGGGCAGAAGAGCAATGATCCTGGGAGCCCTTCCATCCCTGCCAGGGAGAATAGTCATGGAGGGTGGGTCCAGCAGGACAGGACTCCTTGTGAGCTCATGACCTGCGCTTCCTCACATCTCCAGCATGCTCACTCTCTCCCCACACAGCTTTTTGTTTCCTTCCCGGGTCTCTGTACTTCTGCCCTGAGGCTCCAAGTTCCCTCTACCGTGGCCATCACCATCATCCCATCATGCACTTTCTTACTGAGCCACTTTTCTCTGCTCCTCTACATTCTCGTGATAGCTCTCTGCTCCCTCCCTGCAGCTCCAGATGAACGCAGCAGGCACTAGTCTCCCAGCTCAACCTCCTTTTCCGTTTTCATCTTGGAGCCGAAGGGATCCTGGGGCACGTGAAGAGGCTAGAAAGGACTGACTCCAGAAAGTCCGTCCTTTTCAAAAAGCAGAGTCGGCAGGCAGGATGGACACTGGGTAACTTCGGAGCCAGTGGCTTGGGAGAGGGGGGGGCCTGAGTGGGTAGTGGTGGGAATCAGGGTTGTTGTGACTGAAGGGAAATGAGTCAGGGGAGGAAAGTCCTGCTTTGATGCTGCGGACGGAGTGAGAGGGCTGGCCAGACCGCAAGAGAACCAGGCCAACTAACCTACTTTCAGCCACCAAAAGCAGAAAGCGTGGGGGAAGGGAGTGGAGACTGGATCGGGGTTGGGGGGTCAAGAGAGATCCCGTTCAGTGAGCAAACAGCAGATGCCACCGCTGTTTCTGCAGATCTGCTCTTCCCCAGGTCTGTGTGTCTACATAAAAAGAGACAGGTGTTCCAAAGGGAACTGGGGCCAACATGGAGGGAGCCTCCCCTTTGATGGGAGAAGAAGGCCATGCCTCAGAAGCAGGATTGTCCATTACAATTACCAAAGCTGGGGCATCTGAGGCAGGCCACCTGGCACCATGACACGCCAGTAATAGAATCTCTACAACTCCTTCTGAGGTAGTTAGTGTGGTAGAATATTGTTTTAAGGTGTGTTACTTTTGTTTATGCTGTGGAACATTTGCTTAATGATGCAAAGGTGTGTTGCATTGTGTTTTGTTGCATTTGTTTAACTCCGTGAAGCTGTGATTCTTTGTCTAAAACACCTGATGTTCTAATAAAGAACTGAACGGCCAATAGCGAGGCAGGAGAAAGGCTAGGTGGGGCTGAGAGGCAGAGAGGATGAATAGAAGGAGAAATCTGGGAGAAAAAGGAGAGAGAGAAGGAGGAGGATGCCAGGGGCCAGCCATCCAGCTACACAGCCAGCAACGGAGTAAGAGAGAGACACAGAAATAGAAAAAGGTAAAAACTCGGAGGCAAAAGGTAGAAGGGATGATTTAAAGTTAAGAAAAGCTGGCTAGACGCTAAGCCAAGCTAAGGCCGGGTGTTTATAATTAAGAATCAGCCTCGGTGTGTAACTTATTTGTGAGCTGGGTGATGGGGCCCCCAAAAGAGGAAAAAACAACAATTAGAGAGGACAATACTGTGACTCCTAGCTCATCCCAGGACAGGGGTTCCTTCTCAGGAGGTCAGGCCCAGGTGATGTGGCCCCTGAGTGGCCAAGAAGTGCCAGAGATGGTCTTACTTACTTTTCAGGCCACAGGAATGCTTGGGAAAAAAAACACTTTCAGCAACCATTATCTATCAGCAGATAACTGCGTAAGCAAAACACGGTCTAAACAACAGACTGCCGTTCAGCCTCAAAACGGGCAAGAATTCTACGGTGTGGATGACCTTTCAGGACATCGTGCTAAGTGACAGACACTGTATGAGCCCATGTCTGTGATGTATGCAATGTAGTCAAAATCACAGGCACAGAAGGTAGAACGGTGGTGGCCAGGGGTTGGGAGAGCAAAGAGCCATTTATTAATGGCTAAAGGATTTCAGTTCACCAGGATAAAGTTCTGGAAATGGGTGGTGAGATGAGTGCATGGCTGTGTGTGTGTGTGTTCAATGCCACTGAGTTGAATATTTAATAATTAAGGTGGTAAATCTCATGCTACCTGTACACTCTCCACACACACACACACACCCCTATATGTATATGTATGGACAGACAGATAGATAGACGTGTGTAAAATCTTCCAGACAGTGTCTGTAAGAGTCAATGCTGGAAGGCTTCCCTGGAATAAAGTCACAGGGTCCTGAATTTCCTACGGTCCTTTGCCCTCCCACATCACATGCGTAACTGCTTCTTTTTTCTTCTAAAACTTAAGGGACACAGAAGACATGGGGAGCCCAACGAAGACCAAGCTGTTGTGTGTAGTGCTGCTTTGTGGAGTGATTTTCGCATCGCCTGGCCAGGTGGGTCCACCTCCACGCCTCACCCCGGTCGGGCCACCAAGCTTACAGACAGATGTTCATGGTGTGACCCAATGTTCATGCTTCTCCCAAGCACGTCGGGTTGGGAGAAGTTCCGAGGAGTGGTCACAGACACACCGCACACACTCCCCTCCGGGTAGGATACTGACGATGATCCAAGACCGGGCAGCAGAGTCGGGGCGTGTCTGTGACTGAAAAGCTCTTGACGCTGCCTCTGTGACCTTTGACTGTCTTCTTTAGAGCCGTTTTGTTAAAAAAAAATGTGTGTGCCAGTGAGTGGGGTGGTGCACATTTGCAATCCCTCCAGTGAGGAGGCCGAGGAGGGGAGATCACAGGTTTGACCTTAACGTAGGCTTCAGAGAACCAAGGCCTAGGATGAAGCTCAGTGGGAAAGAGCTTGCCTAGGGCCTAGGGCCGGGATATGGTCCCCCGTCGGGGGTGGGGGATGGGGGGTGTATTTGAATGCATCCATAGGGTACTAAGAAAAGACAGGCATCATGAACCACCTAGTAGGTAAGCTGACAGAAGCTGCACCTGATTTCCAAAACCTCACCCCAAACACAGGGCACTGTGGAAGGCCAAATGGGCAACAGCTGGGCACGAGATTTTGTGAGAAGGGGGCATCCCAATAGCTACATAAAGCAGGCAAGTGGATTCCCATTCTGGAATCCACTATCCCTGCGCCACTACTTAAATATAAAATGACCTCGGTAGAATTGGAGTTTCAGTTCATCGGTCACATTGGCTACATTTTTAAGCAGTCTGTGGCCACATGGGATTAGTGAGGACAGCATTGGACAACACAAATCGGAAGCGTTTCTGTTGTGCCCCAAGTTCTTCTGGGTGGCATTAGGGGTGTAGAAAGCGCAGAGACTTTGACAGAAAGGTAGGAAAAGGATGCTCTGTCCGGACCACTTACCTGAAGGGGGAGCTCGTGAGCAGAGGGCTCCTGATTGGTCTTCCCTGGCCTGCACTGACCCCTCCTCCATTCTGGTCTCTTTGCAGGGAATGCACAACAGGTTCATAAGAGGAGCCCGGTCCTACAAAGGTAAGGGGTGGATGAGGAGGCAGGCCCAGGCCTCATAATGCTTTTGACACTCATGGGGTCACTGTTCCACCCAGTACCGGCTTGTGGGATGGTTATGAGATCTTCCCAGGTGATTCTGTGGAAATGCCTGCTTACTCACCGTTTGTCAGGCAGCTGGGGCCAACCAGCCCAGTTTCCAGGGGAACCTAACCAGGCTGTCCTGGGATAATAAAGCTCGTGACATATAGCTGTGTGTGGGGTGGTACGTACGTGCCTATAATCCCAGCACTTGGGAAGCAGAGACCAGTCTGGGCTGCACAGCAAGACCCTGTCTCAATACGGCTCAAAGCATTTGATACAGAGATGAGAGGACAGCCCTAAAGGACGTAGATGACTCACAGAGGCTGCCAAGGCCCCCCAGCAGAACCTGGGGATGCGTTGCTGGCCAGTCCTCTAGGTGTTCCCGGCCTGTGTCCACCTAACCTCTGCTACCATCCCCATGTTTCTATCGCCTCCTGTTGGTAAAATCGGAATAACCGACCTGGGCTACCTCACAGAAATCTTCCAAGTTCCTGTCTTGAGTTGATTCTAGAAAGCAAAGGTTTCCATTGGGATTCCAAGAAGAATAAAAAAAATGCCCCAACGAACTTCTTTGACTGGAAATCAACCAGCTCTAAGTCCAGCCTCAGGTCCCTACCATTCCCCCTCTCTATCTCTCTGCCCTTCCCTCCTTCCCCTCCCTCTTCCTCCCTCTCTCCCTCTCTCTTTCCTTCTACCCACTCATCCCTCCCCCAGCTCTCCATTTCTCTCTCTCTGTCTTTCTCTATCTCCTCCTTACTCTTTTTTTGTGAGGTGAGGGGGTGCCCGGCCTTTCTCTCTGTCTCATTTTCTTTTCTTTCTTTTTAATTTTTTTAGTTTTGTAATTTGTTTGTTTTTTGGAGAAGGAGTCTCATTATATAGCCCAGTCTGGACTGGGACTGACCATGTAACTAACTGGTGCAGGCCTCAAACTCAGCCATCCTCCGGTCTCCACCTCCTAAGTGCTGAGATTACAGCTGTGTATTACCAAGGCTAGCTAGCTTTGGAACATTTCCCTAAACTCCAAAGAACAAAGGAAGGAGTTCAGTGTCCCAAGAGTGTCCCTGGTGGTGCTTCCGAAGCTCCTGGTTTTGGTAGAGAAGGAACTAGAGGTATGCAGAATGGGGCAATTCTGCTCCAGATGTGGCCTGTGAGGGGAGCGGGCGCCCGCTGAGATGCTGTGCCTCCTTGTGGATAACAGCTCTCCCCGGGGTGGGGTTTATCTACTGGAAGCCAAGGTGATTGCAGGCTTAGGAAGATGACTGGAGGCCTTTAGGCAGCTTTTGGAATCTGGAGACCCGGGTACTCTAATCTTTGTCCCTTCATCTTGAAGAGGAATAGAATTCCTGGGTATCACTGGTTTTTTTGGGGTGGACACTACATGAATAATAAACCTCAGTGGAGTCAGTGGCAGAGGCAGGCGGATCTTTGTGAGTTCGAGGCCAGCCTGGTCTACAGAGCGAGATCCAGGAAAGGCACAAAGCTACACAGAGAAACCCTGTCTCGAAAAACCAAAAACCAAAAACAAACAAAACAAAACAAAAAAGCGGTTGCTAAATGCCTGCTCTAGTTTTATTACATGAAAAGTCCTATTAAAGTAGCACATTTTCTGACAGATGTAAGTGCCGGTTTCCCTTACTTTAGCGTGAAGTGTTTTTTCTGAATGGTAATACTCTAAGAATTGAAAACCCTGGTAGTCAGTTACACAGAGAGGTATTGTTTTCGCTGATTTTGTTTGTTTTGTTTTTGCAAGATAGGGTTTCTCTATGTAGCCCTGGCTGTTCTGCAACTTGCTCTGTAGACCAGGCTGGCCTTGAATCCAAAGATCTGCCTGCCTCTGCCTCCTGAGTGCTGGGATTAAAGGCGTGCACCCCCCCCCCCAAATTACCAACTACAGTGGGAAAATAGACTATTACTTAATATAAATTTATTTTAATAGTCAAATTATCTCAAAATAAAGGTTTGTCCAAGGAAGATAATAATAAAAGAGTTCTAGTGGAAAAAAAAAAGTATTTGCTATCATCACCATATTTCTGAGAAATACACACTAGATTATAGTCACCCGTATCTACTGGGGATTGGTTCTAGGGCCTCCCTGGGGTACCAAAATCCACAGATGCTTAAATCTTTTTTTGTAAAATGACATGGTATTTGTGCAAAACCCATCTTCCCATACACTTTAAGTCACTTGCAGATTATCCATGATATCTAATAGACTCTAAATGCTGTGGTCCCAGATATAAAAATAACAGGGCACTATGTTGTATTTTGTAAAGAATAATGACAAGAAAGCCACACATGCTCAGGGTGGACTCTAGGCCTCACCACAGAACCCAGAGCTACAGAGGGTTCCCTGTGCTTTGAAAGCCGAGTCCGGAGTGGTAGGGCTTTCCTCTCCTCTCCCGGGTGTCCTGACGAGACCACCCTGTCTTGTGCTGCAGCGACCTGCCGAGACGAGCAAACACAGACCACTTACCAACACCAGCAGTCCTGGTTGCGCCCCATGGTCAGAAGCAGCAGAGTGGAATACTGCAGATGCATCGGCGGCTCGGCGCAGTGCCACTCCGTGCCTGTCAGAAGTACGTACCAGCTTCTCAGGGAGACCTTGCACCCGGGCTCAGGCTCAGGACCCCTGAGCCCTTCCTCAATGCTTCCTAGCACGGTCAGATCTTCAGCTTTTGTTTTGGGGGTGACCTGCCCCTGGCCAAGATGGAAG